GTGTTTTTTTTCTGAGAAACAAAGCCAGAAGCTCTAAACATAATTTACTCATTTGCTTTGTGATTTTTCCTTTTGCCCTTTCTTAATTTTCTTCATTGTACCTTGCTTCTCATTTCTTAGCAACATTAATTCAGTATAAATAAAATGTATGCTTTCTTCTGTTAATGGCTTGGCTAGGAAGGCCCTAGTCTAGCAATCCACCCAGTGTAGATGGACTGTGAAGTCAAGGCATCCCTGTAAAGATGTGAAAGTCCTTTCAGCCTTAATTACAGGATTGGGGCCTGTGGTTTTTTTTTTTTAATGGACTGTAATTAATTGTGAGGAATGTGTGTGTATACTATTTATGACTTCTTTTTTAAGCAGCCATGCCAAAGGGAAGCTCATGAAAGTCTCACAGTATGCTCAAGTAATGAAATAGTGCTTTACATTATTGTTGAAATGACCATGATATCATCACGTTGGAGTTCAGGGAAAATTATGGAGAGATTACAAAATTAACCTCTAATCCTTTTTTTAAGGAAGGTGTATTAAAACGGAATAGTTTGTAGCAACCACACACATTGATAGAGTATCATGTACATTTTTGGGGTTGGGTAAGTAAAGTAGCTTGCTGAGGAGTATTCAGATTTTTTTCTGCAAAACTACCCTTCCTGCTTCCATTACCTATTAGCTGCCTTTAGTATATGAGACTCGGAATTGTTTATATAATAAAATCTGCTAAGTATGCATGGAGCTTTTTATAAATGCCTGAGATTTGAAATCTCTGCTTCAAAGATTTTGGTGTTTAATTCAGATGCATGCAAAAGTGAAGTTTGAGTATAACAGTTAAGGGGAGTATGTCTAAGGCAGGTATCAACCTTGGAAAACTATTGGTGAGGAATGGGTTTGAATTTCTTGGAGAGGGAAACAAGAAATACCAACTCCAGGAAATCCTTGGCCTTCCTTTTTACTGCTCTGATTTGTGTGTACTTATTTGAGGTTGCAGACTTGCCTAATAAGTTCCTTTTGATCAGAGGAGCTAAAAAAAATCTTTCATTAGTTTTTCCTTATGAATAAAAGTTCATGTATATGGAAGTAGTACATATGGTTCAACAGCTGAAATTTTAAAGGTACAGCAAGCACTGTGGATTGATCAGTACCATTAACTTTCCACTGTGCTTGTTCTAGATGAAAATTTCTCTTACCCACGCTTTTACCACAGCACTTAGCCAGCACTTAGTACAACCTCAGCTCCACATTTTATTGTTCCTTGTCTGGTTTAATTTTCAGCCACCCGTGTTGATAGAGCTTCCTCTATTTCCCTTGAGAGAGAACGTCCCAACTTCACACAACATATTTAGGAAGCCTTTCCTGATACTCAGCTTGTTTTCCTTAGGTGCATGCCTGCCATTACTTCCCATTATACTTTCTTTAACTGATATATGTAGTCTTCATTTGTTTCTGGGTTGGTGTCATTTGCTCTTTCAGTGACTGCTTAGATAAAAATGACTCCGAGTAGTGCCTACTCAATTCTTTCAGCTTCTGAACACTCATGCTACTCTTTTTTGAACTCCTTGCAGTTTGCCAATATTTTCTGCTTACATGGTCTTTAGAGCTTGAATGTAATATCCCAGCTCTTTTTTTTCCTTTGGCATTCTCTCAGTTTTTATAGGATTCATCTCACTTAGGTTAGAGACATCTGAACCCAGTTCTGTGACTACAATCTTGACTGTGGTTTTGCCACTGTGGGTTGGATGAGAGTCAAGACAACTGTAAATGGTAAAGGTAGGAAAAGGTGTTGGAAGAAAACAGATAAGGTTTTGGTAATTTCTGGGAAATTGATGGTAGGGCCAAACAACAGGTTTTCATTTTCAAGGGAAAGGTCAGGGAGCTGAAAGGGCTTGAGTGAGGGGGGAGAAGTGAGAATCATGAACATTTCTCATCCAACTCTCTAAACTCAGGAGGCCAGCTAGTCCATCCCCCTGCTCAAAGCAGGACCATCCCCAACTAGATCAGCCCACCCGAGGCTTTGTCTAGCTGGGTCTTAAACTTACAAGAATAGAGATTCCACAGCTGCTCTGGGTAACCTATTCCAGTGCTTTACTCCCCTCCTGGTGAGAGTTGATGATCCAGCCAGTTTTCTGTCCACCTTACAGTCTATTCATCCAACCTGTACTACTTTAGCTTGCTTGCAAGAATGTTGTGGAAGACTATCAGAAGCTTTACTAAAGTGAGGGTAGTATATAAAAAGGTAGCAGCCAGGAAGGGGTGGGATCAAGGAGGAGGCTAGGTAGAAAGTTTAAGGGACCAAGAGTGATCAATACTAAAGGAGAAAGTGGTGAGCAAAGAGGAGGTGGAGGAAGTCATGATGAGGTACCTCCCTCTTTTACAGTAGGAGTGGTCCTTTTGTGGAGTAGTAGTTTTTGGTGGGAAGTCAACAAGCAACAGGTACTAAATGTTTAGAAAGGACATTGGCAGAATAGTAGGAGTGTTACAGTTGTCCAAGTTAGTTTGTAGTCTTCAGATTTGCTTTAGGGGCATTCAGTGGTGCAGGAGCAGAAAGGGAGCTGTTTGGAGAGAGGAACCCAAGTTTGTGTCGTTAGGAGTTACATTGACCCAAAGGAGAGCAAGAGTGGAAGGAAATGAAGTAGCTTTGACTGAACTATTGTAGAGCCTACAAGAAAGGAATGAACAGCAGAGAGGACCTGAGTGCACCTGGATCTGGGGGCTCTGGAAAGGCCAGGAGAAGGAAGGACAGTGTTGACTTTAAGCTTAAATTCAAATCAGCTTTGTATGCACCTTAACAGGATCTAAATGGAATCTAGGTGCACCCTAGATGGTGCCACTTGAGCAGCTGGAAAACTGATTAGATGCCTGGATTTGTTAGATGCCTCAACTTTAGTCTTAAAAGAGGCATTTTAGCTTATGCGTTCCCCTTGGAGCCAAACTTCTGCCTGAACTCTGTTATGATCCAGATTTGGCTCTGGGAGACCTGAAAGGAACCAAGGATTCATACAGTCTTAGGCCACTGCATAGTGCATCCAGTGACTTTCAGATTGCATGAATACAGTTTATTACAACCACCCATGGTGGTGCCCACCTTTTTGTTTAGTTGGTTACCAGCCTGGGTGTGTTTAATTCCCATCCAGGAGGTGGGAGAGCCCAGCATGGTCAGGCCACTTTTTTTTTTCCTGGGAAATAGGAGATGTGAGTTCCTTCTGGCTTGAGGAAGGTCCAGAATGCAGCTGTTCTGCATCCTGGGTCCAAGCTCTAACCTAGGCTACTTGGCAAAAAGTGGCTGGGAACATTTGTCATTCAAAGTGAATGACGTGCCCTGTGCTTCACACTGAACTTGGTGTTGCTGTCACTTAAGCATCCTGGTTCAGGTAGAAGACTCCAGCTGGCTGCTGAGTCAGGGATGACCAACTAATCTAACATGCAGCCTTGTCAGATGCTTTAGCTCTGAGGATGAGGAAGGGGAAGCTTAGATGCACCCCTGTACCTTGCATTTCCACATGACTACCTGTAGGTGTGTCCATGTTCAGTATACATGCGCTATGGCTTGACCGTGACCTATATATTCACTGTATAGACATCTAAACTTGTCTATTTAGGTTACCCTCCTGAGGCAGTGGGCTTAAAGTTTAGGAATGAAATGCCTACATGGCAGTACCTAAGAGAATGTGGCAATTGGTCTTTGTGGGTCAGTTCCCCACTGCAAAAATAGGCACAGAAATACTTCTCTTTCTCGAAGTGTGAAGATAAATATGGTGAAGCTTATGGTATGCTTGTAATCAAGGCTATAGACATAGCTCATCTGGGTTGCTATTCAAAGGTCTGAATAGCTGGAAATTCTAGTAAACGTGGATGAGAAAGTTCAGCTATAAGTCCTAACTCTTTTAGTAGATGTTTATCAGAGCACTTGCACCCAAGGAAGATCTCTTTGCAATGAATTGCTATTTGAAAGTCTAATCTCCATTCCACAACATCTGTCATTCTCTTAGTTAAATATATAGGGTCTTGAACTATTTCGCTATCACTCTGATAAACTGAGTACTTCCTATGATTTCCCAGCAGGAAAAAAATCTCCATGGTAGCCTGTTACTTGAATAAACTATTTATTTACATATTTCTATTTACCTTTGAATAAAATCATTTTTACATATTAACTCAGACATGTGTTTTATTTCAGTTATGCAAAGGGAGATTTGGATATATCGTTTATCACTTCCAGAATTGCTGGTATGGTTAGTTGCATCTTTTTAAAATCATGATTTCAATTATATTTTCATAAAAGTTAATACCTCAAATGGCAATGTTCTGTTTTCAGTGATGTCCTTTCCAGCAGAAGGTGTAGAATCTGCCATCAAAAATAACATAGAAGATGTGCGATTATTTTTAGACTCTAAACACCCTGGACACTATGCTGTTTACAATGTATCTCCAAGAACATACAGGTCTTCAAGATTTCATAATAGGGTGTGTATGTATTTGTCTTTTGATTTATTTTCCTGTAGTAAGACTGGGTAGACCTAGCGCATCTTTTGTTAGATGCCAGCGTTTTTATTCAGTTAAGATGTACAGCTCAAATCACAAACGGACCATTTCAAAGGTAAGGTCCACTACCAATATTAATTCTAGCATAATTTGCCACTGATTTGGATGAAAGGGAAAGATGGCATTGCTTTCTGGAGTGGTAGCTTTGCTGAAGAAAGACCCAGGCATTCAGCACCTCCCTACCTAGGAAACAAATGTGTTACTGGAACAGCTGTGTTCTCTGTTTTGTCCAGAGGTCTTTCCCTGTGTCTTTCCCTGCTTTGCACTATTTGGGAGGGCTTCACTTACTGGCCTTCTTTAATATCTTTGCTCCCTTTTTATCTCGCTGGTTTTTTGTTTTTTTTTTTTTGTCTCCTCTCTGAGCCAGCTGCACTTAGTGAATTGTCTAGGCATGTCCACTCCTTACTGCTGCCTGAAATGAGCAGTATATAAAAGCAGGGACATGGCACATATCCTTGTTGTAGGTAACCAAAGATGGCTATCTGGCAGGTCCTTAAGTGTAAATATCTTTTTGGTTCCTTTTCTTCAGTGCAGTCTTGCAACCAGAAATCATGACTGGCAGCACACTGGAGTCTCGGGCTTTCAAATCCCAGCTTTCTAATGAAAACATCCTGGCGGTGTCTGAAGATGTACTTGCACCATCCCCACTGGACCTCAGTTAGATCTTTATACAACCAGGACTCAATGTGTCCCTTTTTTGTCTTTTAAGCTGTGTGGTGTAAGCTGTCCATTATCATCCCTTCAAAACCATATTTTTAAAATAATATTCCTCTGTTTGACACAGTTCAGTTTACAGTGTATTCTTACTCTTTCCTTTCATAAGTCTCCTTCAAGCAGGAGGAGGAGGGAAAACATTGGACCTAAAACTTTCTTCTTCCTCCAAGTGCAAACTAATGGAATGGAATTCAGATAGGATAAACTGCTATATATATTTACTTGCCTAAATTTGATTTAAACTTTTAAGGATTATCAACCCTTGAGACTGAACCCCAGAAATGGTTAACTTAAGACCCTAGGCTTACCTAAATTTCAGTGGAGACCCACAGATCCTTTGGAACAGAAAAAAATGCACTGAATTTTTAAAGAAGTCTTCCAGATGCGTTGCTCTTTTTCTAAAAGTACGTACTCTGTATCCATGTTCTCCAAATTTTGTCTCACATTAGGGAACCTTATTCCTTGGACAGAAAACTCAACTTTACTCTGAAGATGTCCAGTTTATTGACCTATATTCCCCTTGTATATAGCACTCCTGCAGTGATGTCTCTAACTTGCTTGACAAGGGAAAATTACTGCAGTAACTGCCAATCCTCCAACAGGCTCAAGTTTTTCAGGCCTTATTGTTTATTTAGCTTGTCAATTAGCATCATCCATTTAATCCTGACCCAAGTCTTTTTTTCCTGTATAGCCAGAAGGGATCAATGGATCTGAGCTTGTCAAAAAAGCATTGTACAATTTCACTTTTTGTTTAGGTTGCCTTTAAGGACTAAAGCTTTTTTGAGTCCCCAGTTAAACTGAAATGGAGTTTATTTTCATCTTGTTTTTCTAAGAAACCTTCCCCTTTTTCCACCTGTAAAACCCAGGTGCTGAAAAGCTGTTTCGTAATCCTGTGGGTATAAAGAGGACAAAATGTTCGTCTCCAGTGAAGTCATTCTACAACTTGAACTCCATATTTAATTTGGAATAGTAGACAAAAGAAAAGGGTAACTTCTAAATGTAGGGTATTCTACTTAGTGCAAGTGAAGAAAATTCAAGACTTCTCCATTGTCTCTTGTGCCATAAAATGTATACTAATCTAAGACCTTGTAAAGTGGTAAGACCCTCAATATCTGAGGTGAATATTTATAACTTTGATGTACTTTCTAGTCCTTACTAAATGGATGCATCATTGTGAATATTTTAGATCTTCCAGGCTACCCTTTCTCTAACTCGCTCTAAATTTTTTTGCTCTATATTCCTTTCACCAATACAGAATTTTCTGTGAACTTTGTTTGTTCATATTAGGTAAAAATGTAAAGTTTTTGGAATTCTCTCTAGGCTTTTCTTGATTCCACTCCTACATAGCTTTTGGGTGCCCAAAACCTCCCTAAGGCAGCAGAGCTGCTTCTGTTGAGCAGTTTTGTGGATTCCTCCAGTAATAATCCATCACTAGTAGTTGAGTATATTTCAAGAAAATGAATGCGCTGATAGGGAACAAAAGCCTGTCTTTTTGTATAGCATTTGTTTTTTGTGCCAAAATCCATTCCACTTTAAACTAAGAAAGCTAGAATAAAATAACCAGAGAGATGCCATATGGTTGTCAGCATTAGTTCAGGAGCTAAGACTTTTTTTTGCTTTTCAGTTTGTGTCCATGAAGTAGCATTAGGAATTTTTGGCTCTTTTAATATTAAGACTCAAGTGGTTCAATTTTTGTATACCTTGCCTACAGTCTTTGTGGTTCTCAATTTTGTTAGAGTTGGGGCACCCCTCCTCAACTTGTTTGAATTTGGTGGCATCCCTAGTTGACTTGCCACAGTGGTTCTCAATCGGGTGTTGTCACCACTGTTATCTGGTAAAACTGTTTGTACTGCTCCTGCACAATAAACCTGAGAAGGGCTGCAGCACACAGTGCTGTTCTGCGTTGTTAGTATGCTTTTAAGGTTAAAGCAGGCAGGAAAGCCGGCCCATTCTGTAGCTTTTCCTGGTCCAACTTTACACAGCATCTCCTGGAAACAGGCCAGTGGGATAAGTGGAACTGTCCTGCATATTTCAGTAGTGGGGGGAGGCTGGACAGGGAAGGGCTACTTTAGAAGCTGGCCCTCTTCCCTGCTTTAGGCTTATCAGATCCCTAATGAGGCAGAAGAGCACATGGTTGCCACAGTCCTTCCTGGTGTGGCTGTGCAGTAGGCACGTGGGACAATTTAACCTGGTTGTGGTAGTAATGCTCATGTTGTGGGGTGCTGTGGCATCCCAGCTGAGAAGCACTGCTCTATTTAAATTTTAATCTGGTGGAAAGAAGAGGTGGCATTTCTTTGCTACAGTTAGTTAATATGGAATGTTATTTTAGGCTTATTTAACGTGGTTAGGAGTTATTGATCAGTTTTGTTGGTTTTATCTTTCCAATGGGAAAAGCTTACTTCTTCAAAATGAAATTGTGGAAATGACAGAATACTACAGAATGCAACAAAAACGTGGGGCAAAAGATTGAATAATATTAATTCTCTTACATCTGTCACTTTTTTTTTTTTTCTGACTCTGACAGTTTCTTGAGGAAGAGCTAATTTGATATTAAAAATCTTAGCTTTTCCCAGAAACAATCTCTTTTTACATTTCAGCCTGGGGAAAAAAGTGAGGTTAGATGAACAGATTATACTTATTTATACCAGCAGGGGAGAGGGGTTTATTTTACCTTTGTCAGCTGTACCACCCTAACTGTTTTGTTTGTTTACTCCTATTCTGTAGTTAGTGGAAACTAATCTAGGGAAGCTGCCCAGCTTTCACTCTTCTTAGGATAGAAGCAGCCCAGGGAATAGATACTGTGGAATAGCTAATACCTTCTTAAGTTACCCTTTTAACTTGGTGCAATTCGTTCATCTGTCCATACCCTCAACTTACTTTGCGCAAGTCGTCAGGAGGCACTAAGCATGCTCACTGATTTTTAGATAGTTCCCTGAAGCTGACAAGGCATCCATTCCTATAAAAGCATTTGTCAGTGCCAACTGTTTTGTCATATTTTGAACCCTGTTTAAAAGTGTTGTGTAAAATTTATTTTTTTTTTACTGGTGGATGGTTTTTTCCTTTTGTTAATGTGAAAATTGCTGAGAGACTTTTAGATTGGTTTCTTTAAACAAACTTTTTTTCAGCCCATCAGGGGAAGCAGTTTTATATCATTAACTAATGTTGACTGCTTCAGTAGTAACAAATACTCTGCTAGCTTTGCATGTTGTAGCTATTTTTATTTCAGTAGTGTCCAGAGACCATGCTTAGGATGGAAGACTCATTTTGCTGGGTGCTGTGGAGGATATATCTAAACAGAAATCTTGTTTGATACCCTGCTTATTAAGCTTCCTTTTTAATTTGTTCTTAAATTTAGTTTTAAAATACAAATGCATCTGTTTGTGGTGTGGCTGTAGTCACTGTACTCACCTCTTATTCCATCCTCCAGGTTTCTGAATGCGGTTGGCCAGCGAGACGTGCTCCAAATCTTCACAACCTTTATAGCATTTGCAAGAACATGCATTTATGGCTAAAGCAAGATCAGAAGAATGTTTGCATTGTGCACTGCCTTGTAAGTAACTGTTACACCTGACATTTTAGCTGTTTGAGCCCAGCCATAACGGTTCAGTTCACACGTATACAAGTAACAAACTTCTCTATATTTAAGTTTTGGTGGTAGTATAAATTCTTTAGAGAAAGTCCTACATGTTTAAATGGTGTTAACTTGCGCCGATTTGCTATGAAGTCAGTCACGAAGATGACTTAGAAACCCTTCTAGCTCCCTCTGCAGATAGCAGATGAAACAGTAACAGGAGGAATTAAGGTAGCTTGGCATTTGTGTGATAGGCACTGCTTTCTTGCACTTATGTTAATTTCTTTGCTTGCTACAGATCTAGCTCCAAATTTTAGGCATATAAGGGGCTTGATTTGCATAGCTCCTAGCTGGTCAAGTAATGCCAACATTTAATGTTCAGTCAGTTGCTTAAAAACTAAATGTCTCCCTAAAGCCCTGCCAAAATTCAGCTATTCTGTTTACTGTTGGCAGGCCTTCACTAGAGAATAAAATGTTCAAATCTATCTTAGTGTGACACATCTGAGTATCATTGTGTCTAAATAAATATTTGATTTAAGGTAACAAGATCAGGCTTGAGAATGATTCAAGAAATATACACAGTTCACTCCTATAAACATACATAAGTTATTCCTTTCCTTATAGTGCTGCTATCTAACACTATATTATAATCTACCTGATAAGAAATTCCTATAGAAATATTGGCAAGCTCAATTTTCAGTCATAGAATCATAGTGAAGTTGGGCTGGAAGGGATCTCCAGAGGTCATATAATCCAACCCTCTGCCTGAGGCAAGATCATTGCTATCTAAACCTTCCTATACAAAATGTAATCCAACCTCTACATAAGGCTACCATCAATCCTAACATAACACAGACCTAACATCATCCCCTGCCACAAGTAAAGCAGGGGAACCATGACAGTCAATATCCTGCTTCTATGAAATGTTGTCAATGTGTGCTCAAGAGGTCCCAGGTAGAGGGTCATGACCCTCGCTGCAGAGGAAGGCAAAAAACCCTACAGTCCATACCAATCTGACCAGCAGGTAAAATTCCTTTCTTACCCCAAATATGGTGATTTGGTCTGACTCTGGGTGGAAGGGCAAGACCCTCTAGTCAGGAACCTCCCAGTTTGGTCCCAGCAGCAGCATTGGCACACCCCTGTCAAAATACCCAGCCTTGGCTGTAGCCAACACCCAGTGCCTCCTAAGGAAGGCTTGAAAACACCGACACATGCCAGATAAGGGGTGAAGGGGGCCTAACTAGCAAAGTCCCAGAAGCATACCCATAGTAGAATATAGGCATAGCTATGCCTGGATCATCCCCAACTAAATGCCTGTCCAGTCTCTTCTTGAAAACCCCAAGTGACTTAGTCTGGAACTTCTTTAGGCAATCTATTCCACTGCCTCCCTGTTCTAACAGTGAAGAAGTTTTTCCAGATATCTGGTCTAAACTTATTTTGCTGCAACTTCAAGCCATTGGTCCTCATCCTTCTCTGTGGAGCAAGAGAGAGAAAGTGCTTTCCCTCTTTTTATGGCAGCCCTTCAAGTAGCTGAAGACAGCTATCATGTCTCCTCTTAAGTGACTTTCACAAACTGAACATGACTAGCTCCTTTAGCCTCTCCTCATATGAGCTGCCTTCAAGCACTTTATCATCTTTGTTACCTGCCTCTGGACCCTCTCTAACTTCTCCATGTCCTCTTTTAAATGTGGAGCCCAGAACTACACACACTACTCCAAATGAAATCTAACCAGTGCCAAGTAGAGAGGTACCATCATCTCCCATGTCTTGTACCTAATGCTTCTGTTGATGAATCCCAAAATGACCTTCACCTTTCTGTGTAGCTACATTGCACTGTAAACTTGTATTAAGTCTTTGGCCTACCAAGACTCCCAAGCCCTCTTTCACAGAGCTGCCATTCAGCCAGGTGTCATTTATTTTTATTTGTTCTTGATTATTCCTCCTGAGGTGTAGCACCTTGTGCTTGTCCACATTGAACTTCATCCAGTTAGCTCCAACCAAACTTCCAGTATGTTAAGATCCTTCTGAAGTTGTGCTTCCATCCTCCAACAGGTTTGCAATCCTTTCCAGTTTTGTCATCTGAAAACTTACTCAAGAAGCTTTTTAATGATTTGGATACTGGCATAATAAACATGTTGAACAGCACCAGGCCCAGGATGGACTCTTGTGGGACTCCCCTTGAAGCCACCTTCCATTCTAACATGAACCCATTAATAATTACCCTTTGCTTGTGGTTCTTGAGCCAGGTATCTCTTCACCTCATTGTAGTTTTAGTCTAGTCCATGTTTTTGCAGTTGGTTTGTGAGAAGGTTGTGTGGCACCTTGTCAAAAACTTTACTAAAATTCAGATGCATTATCCATGGCATTCCCTTCAACCACCCAAGCAGTTTGTCAAAGAAAATCAAGTTTGACATGATTTGTTCCTAGTAAATTCATACTGATTGTTTGATCAGCCTTTCCTCCTCCAGATGCTTGTAATTGACCTTCCTTAGGATATGCTTCAGTAACTTCCTAGGTATTCATGTGAGGTTTACTGGTCTGTAGATGCCTGTGTCCTCGTTTTTGCCTTTCCTCTGTAAAAAGAAGAAATACTACATTGGCCCTTTTCCAGTCCTCTGATATCTGTCTGGCCTGTCTCCTACAACTTAATGAAGGTTACTGCCAAGGGCTCCAAGATCTCCTCTCAGTTCCTTCAGGACCCTGGAATGAAGTTCACCTGGCCCTGCTGACTTAAATTCATTCAGACCCAACAAAAACTCTGATCATCTCTTTTATCTCCTCCCTCAGCTTGCCCCTTCTATAACCAGATAATCTGTATTAGGTTTGACTGAAGCTTAATTTTTTTGTGAAGACTGAGACAAAGTAGATCTGTTGAGTAGATCCGCCTTCAGTTAGGAGTTCCCTGTGGCTTGTTAACAGAGAACAACAGCTTCATTGGTCCTTCTTGTTTGGCCAACATACTTCTAGAACCTCTTCTTGTTGTCCTTGACTTCCTTTCCTTGGTGCAGCTTGTTGTTTATCTTTGCCTTCCTGATTTTTGTCCCCACAGACTTGCTATTTCCTAGTATGCTTCCTTGATGACTTGCCCTTTCTTCTATTGCCTGTATGCTTTATTTTCCATTGGAGGTATTTTAGATGCTCTTAATGCAGCTATAGTGGCCTCTTGCCATTCTTCTTGTGCTTCCATTGTGTCAGAACAGTTTCTTGTTGGGCTTCCAATACTGTGGCCTTCAGAAGCTCCCAGCTGTCATGGATACCTTTTTATCTTTTAGTGTATTCTCATGACACCATGCCTATGAACTCCTTGAGTTGGATCAAATCTGACTCTTTGAAAACTCGCGATTTTACTGACCTCATAGTTTCATAGTTCCTAGGGTCGGAAGGGACCTGAG